AAAGACGGTTCACAATGAAGTCTCTTCAGTAAAAGCGAGGCACTAACCCGGGAATGAAGGGGCAAATCAAACATGGATGGCACTGGGACAAGTGATAAAACAAAAGATGCATGTGGAGGGGGTGAAAATTGCAACATTCAACCTATTACCAGCACCTGCTGTTTGGTAAATTAGTTACGTCTTGAACCTGATGGGCATCTGGAAGATTGTAAATGGCCAAAACCAAAAGACAAGGTCAAAGAGTCACCGAGATGTACAACACGGAAACAGAACCTTTGGTCCAACTTCCCAATGCTGACCAGATGTCCTATTAATTAATCTAGTCCCATTTGTCAGCATTTGGCCCATATTCCTCTAAACCCTCCCTATTCATTTACCCATCCAGATGCCTTTTATATGTTGTAATTGTACCAACCTCCACCACCTCCTCTGGCAGCTTGTTCCATGCACGCACCACCCTCTGCATGAAAAAGTTGCACCTCAGGTCCCTTTTAAATCTTTCCCCTGTCACCTTAAACCTACGCCCTCTAGTTTTGGACACCCCAGCCCTGGGGAAAATACCTTAACTATTCACCCTATCCATGTCCCTAATGATTTTATAAACTTCTATTAGGTCCTGTCCCTCGAGTTTCTGTTGACCTTCATTGGATTAATTTTCCAGGAGTGTTTTAGGCAAATGCGCTGTAACAGATGCATAATACACACAGAGGACTGAAAGCGGACTTCCAGTGTTTGAATGACATGTTTCAAATCGGAAAGGGATTGTTTTGAACATTACTCCATTTCCTCACTGCCCTACATTTAAAGCTTTATGTCTCTTAATCACTTCAAGCAAAGCTTACAGATTGGTTTGAAAACAAAATTACAGTAAGTCAATACATCCCATTACAAAGGAAAGCATTTCCATGTGTTTAGATGGCCCGGAGCAATTCACAAAGATGTTGACGAGCTTTATCTCTGAGGAAAATTCAGAGTAGCCAGGTCATATTTTATTTGAACAGAGATGGGTAAGAGGGAATCTACTCAAGGGTTCAACTCAAAATGATAAGCAGAGTTGATAAAGTAAATCAGGAGAAATGAGATCACCGTGCAGATTAGTCTGTAATAAACATAGAAAGGAATTAGCATCCATTCTGCCCCTGGGACCTGCTCCATCATTCAATAAGATCATGACCAATCTGATTTTGGCCACTTTCCTGCCTTCCAGCATAACCATTGCCTCCCTCATCAGTCAAGGAACTTTCTACCTCAAAAATATCCTATGATACAGCCTCTACTGCTCTCTGGGGAAGAGTTCCAAAGAGTCTTGACTCTCAGCGAAATCATTTCGCCTCCTCTCCATATTAAAAGGGAGACATCTTAGTTTTAAACTGTGCCCCCTGATTCTAGTCTCTCCCACAAGGAGATTCATCCTCCACCCTGTTAAGACCCGTCAGGATCCTTTATATCTCAATATGATCAGCTCTCATTCTTCAGAATTTCCATGGATACACCCCCAACCTTTCCCCGTAAGGTGACAACTCATCACGGTAATCAGTCGAGTCAACCTTCTGTGAGGACTGTATTATTTTATTTGAATGTAAATTGGAACATGGGAGTTTGGATGATTTATTACAACTCAATGGAAAAGTGGAACTCTGTAGTGTTCACTCATTGACTATAACTGAATGTACCCAATTCTGATTTATCAATAGGAGGTATTGGTGAAAGCTCTACTGTTGCTATTTTCACCTTCTTCAGGCCCCATCTTTTGTTTCATTACTTGTTCTATTATGATCCACATTCACCTCACACCAACGTTTATTCACTCAAGAACATGTGAGTTTTGCTGAAACAGTGTTTTGATATTTTCTGAGACAGGCTGGAACTATGGTTTTTCAAATTGAAATAAAAAGAAACTGCTCAGCAACAGCTTTGGTTTGGTTCTATGTAATAGTTTTTCACAGAACTAAGAGGAGAGATGGCTCTCAGACATCCAAAGGCCTGCCAGTAAGCCAGATCCTTTCTCTTCCTCTGTGACTGTAAAAGAAATAACACTGAAGACTCTGCGAAAAGAAAAAAAAGTCTCGAACTCAAGCCAAGACCTAGGTCCAAATGATCAGCTACCAAATTGCGGGTCGTCACAGTCGACAACAATGTGATATTATCACCATTTTTTGAGAAAGTCACATAATTCCACTCCTTTTGATTTGGATTCTTAATCCAGAAAGTTTGTTCTCTTGTGTCTATACTTTTTACCCATGATATTCCTGAAAAACTGTTCATGTCGTCTGTCCTGTCCATCCTATTTGTGAATTAATACTTACGTATTTGGACTTAAAGGAGGATATAGTTTAAGTTTTCATATTTGCAATTAATTGTCCATTTTGCCAAATGGTGGATTTCTTTTTAGTAAATAAGATCTCATTTCCTTGTTCATTGAAACCTGGTATGAGTTTCTTTTATTTTAGATAGTGATCACAGTCAGACAAACTTAACATCCTGGAGATGAAATTGGCCATATTTCCTATTTGTGACAACTCTTGGAATAGTGAATAAGTTGTCTTATATGCCACAATGTATGATATTGCTTTAAGATTCTCTAATGCATTATCCCTTCATAATCACTGCAAATCCTTTACAGGACAGATATAGTGGATTGAATAAAGCTGACATCTGGCTTCAGGCACAATTGGACATTTGCTGAACTGCGTTTATAAAAGGTGCGGGATAAATTAGTGACAGCTACCAAAATATTTCTCCAGTTAAATAATTGACTGGCCTTATATACTAGGATAACCTTTTACTATCGATATATTCAGAGTGTTGGTTCTCCATTCAATTGTCTTTATTTGTTCATGTAATGTGGGGTGTTGCTGGCTAGGCTAGCCTTTATTACATATCATGTGCAGACGTTGCCCATCCCTAATTACCCTTGAGAAGGTGAGCTGCTTTCTTGAACGGCTGCAGTTTAGGTGGTGTAGGGACACCCACAGTACATTTTGTTTGATAAAACTGAGTGACTTGCTGGAGCCAATCCAGAGGGCATTTAAAGGACAATCACAATGCTATAGGTCTGGAGTTATGTCTAGGTTAGACAAGGTAAGGATGCAGATTTCCTTCCCAAAAATAAATTTGTCAACCAATAAGCATATACCCAGCTTTCTCAACCTTTTCTCATTGGACACCCCTTTCATCCCAGCAATCAACCGATTGAATCATATTGGAACTAACTCCAAAGCAAGCATATACTTCCTTAAATGAGGAAAAGTGCACACAGTACTGCAGGTGTGATCTCACCAGTGCTAAGCACATTTTAACAAGACTTCCCAACTACTTTTACTCCATTTTCCTTGCCATAAAGACTAACCTTCCTTTCTAATTACTTGCTGTTTCTGCATACGGTTTATTTATAACGCATCCTTTTTCACATTCGTTCTGCAATATTTTCCATTTAAATAAAATACTGCTTTTCTATTCTTCCTGCCAAAGTGGACAAGTTCACATCATCCCAAATTATACTCCACTTACCAGGTTTATGTCCACTCTCTTAACCTACCAAATGCTTTTATAGACTCTGTTTTTCCTCCTCACAACTTGCTTTCACACCTATCTCTTTGTTGTCAGCAAATCTTACTATAATAAACTAAGGCATTTTGACTGTGCTTCACATTATTTTGATTTTCCAGATTTCTTGCTATGGATTGTTTTAATAATGGAAACCAGCATTTTCCCAATGACTCGAGCTAGTCTAACTGGTCTATTGCTTCCTGCTTTCTGAAAACCACCTTTCTTGAATAGGGGCATTACTTTCTTTTATTCAATTGTAGGATGTGGGCATCGTTGGTTGAACGAATATTTATTCTGTATTCCTAATGGAGAAGGTTCTGATGAGCTTTTTGAACAACTGCAGTCCGTGGGGTGTTGGAAAAATTGCAGCACTGCTGGTGAGTTTCAGGATTTTGACCCAGCG